ATATTTGGCTACGCACATTGAAAGGGTAGTTCTCAATACCACTTTATGTTGCGCATGTCTGCATTTGATTGTCCTGCTGCATATACGATGATATTGTACAAAAGTGTCCTTCTTTTCGAAGCCTCATCAAGTGGTAGAATGTGGGAACTTTTCCTATCAAAGGGTCGGTATATTCGCCAATTTGGTATTAGTCACGCGCTTAATTTTGATTATAATGAGTGAATGTACATGCGCTATGTGCGCAGATGCAAGTTTATGAATGCAGCATGTTCTCCGTACTTGTTCAAATAGCCCAGTAGATGACATGTATTCATTTTGTATAAACCATAGTTAAATTGGATCTAGTTTTGCATTCACACATGTACACGCGTAAACTAGTACCGATTTGAATGTCTAGACTCTAAGCACCCATACTCTTACGGGCTTAATTTTCATTCAACGAGTGAATGTACATGCGTTGTGTGCGCAGATTAAAGTTCATGAATGCAGCATGTTCTCCGTATTTTTTTAAGTAGTCCAGTATATGACGTGTATTAATCTTTTGTATATACCATAGTTAAATTGGAACTTGTTTTGCCTTCGCACATGTACACGCGGATACTGATCTTGATGTACAGAGAAATGTCAGCGTGACTTACTGCATAGAGGGGCCGTGTCTGCGATGGCAGCGCTAGTGATCTCTCTCAATAAGGAAGCCAGCGTCGAGAAGGATAGTGTGCGCAAGGCTCCTGTATGCCGCAAACTGAGTTTGGCAGGCGACATGGTAGGTGTTTATTAGTTTTTCGGAGATAACGCCTGCCGACATACTAGAGCTAATATCGGCACAATGTATGTATACCTGAGCAATTAAACGATACATGTACTAATGATTTATGTATATGCGAGTGTGTTAATCCTATACAGCTCGATCCGCAAATGAAAGAAACATATGTAAGCCCAAAGAACATTGCGTTGAATATATATGCGAGCTTAAACAAATTATGGTGTACGCAGTACTTAACATCTCCGTTTCTTCCCTTAGGTGTTCGACTCAGTTGTAGACAATCCGGGCACAACTGACGCCACCCAGGGTCACTACAATAATAGAGGAAGCCAGTTCAGTATGACGGGTGAACAGCACACTGAAAATAACCATGATACGCTCATGCGGAACACGCCTCACCACCACAGTGCACTACAGGGCCACTCGAGTGCAACCCCTTTGGGGTCTGCACAGCCGCTCTACGAGGCCCCGAACAGTTCAGGGTGGGTTATATATTTTATAAGCACATATTTATATATATATATATATATATATCTGTGTGTGTGTGTGTGTGTGATGTATGTATATATATGTATACGATTCTTTATATATAAATATGTATGTATATAAGTATGTATATATAAGTATGTATATATATATCTATATATATATATATATATATATCTATATATATATATAATATACATATATATATATATATATATATGAATACATATATAAATACAATTACATATATATGTACATATATATATAAATATGTATTTACATACATATATATATTTATATATATATACATATACATACATATTTATATTTATGTATGTATAGATGTATATTTATATATATGTATATGTATATGTGTACATCTATAAATATATTTATAAATATAACTATATATATATCTACAAATATATATTAATATAGATGTATATATATATATATAAATATATATATTTATAATTATATATATATATATATATATATGTACATATATATATATATATGTACTATTATATATATATATGTACTATTATATATATAGTTATTATATATATATATGTATATAGATATAGTTATATAGATAGATATACATATATGTATATATGTATATATGTATATATATATTTATATATGTACATATAAATGTGTGTGGGTGTATGGACATATCGTTTGGTATGCAGACGTGAAATCAGAGTACTGCAATTGTTCCCGCAACTACGCTCCGAATGTGCCGGTATACACGAGTGTGTACTCATATATCGCGTTACGTGCAGCCGGAACTCTCAGCAAAGATCTTTCACTGCGTTCTCACACGCCTATTTCGTCGAGTGTATCACAGAAGTCTGATCGACTTACATCCCTTGTAGTACTCGTTACATACACATTGTGTGCGTTTTTTTATGTCGATATTAATACTGTTTATGCCAACGTTACGTACGGTTATATCCACTTAACGCTACATATTGCCATTGATACGTGAGACCCCATGGTTACATGGTTATATACTTTTCCCTTTTAGTATCTACAAATTTAAAGTTTTGACTCTCAGGCACCTATAATGGCGCACTTTTTGTTGACATAGTACGAAAGCTACAATATGTCACGACGAAATGAGATATTGGTGTAGTAATTTTTTGATAGTATTGAGTACGCTAACAGTGTCGCTCGTCTCTTGTTGGAAACAGAAGTTTACATCGACCAGATGCCAACGATCCATACAACATAGTGGACAACAACAACATGACACTGAGCGAGCTCAAACTACAGGCGGTAGTTGGCCTAACCAATTGTTCTATCGGTATGCGCGTGCAAGTGCATTTTTCTAAGTAAGTCTCTATGCTTGATGATTGTGCTGTGCGTGTATTGGGAAGTTTATTTGTATGTATAACTACGCTTTTTGTGTTTAGTTAGTGATTACTGTACATGCATTGGTGCGCGTTTTTGTATTATTCTACTCAAGTTGTGATTGCATAGGCAATGTAGTTGTGCTCCAACTGAAGAAAATCTATGATGCTATACGAAGACACATGACGCCTTCACATAAAAGTATTTCAACTTATCCATTTTATTTATGTACGCAATGTACATGTGACGAATCCATAGTGAATTGTATTATTTGTAGGTTCACCACGGTTGCCCCTTCCCTGTTAACCACCGTCTGCAGTTGTTTTTTTTCCTTCTGCCTCTGTCATGTCTATTATTGCTTTTGTAATATATTATATCATTTGCATCTTCCGTATCATTCTGTGCTCACTGTATAAGTTATACCTACGCTTAGTGATGTGAATATGACCTGATTGCAGATGAACTTTAAGGATAGTTCCCTCAACATGATCTTAATGCACATATCCTCTACTTTCGAGACACATTGAATTGGCCTTTTAGCATGCTATAATAATATTAAATTCATGCATATATCTTGTCTATACTTTAGTCATATCGTTATAACTCCTCCGCAATTGTACTTCTCATATACTGCATCACAGACTTACTCTACACCTTACCTGCATCAATATGGCCTCACCACATATGTACTCTATTATTTCTTCAGAACAGCAACATAGGTCTATGTACTGAACAAAATACGTACGTTCTAGTTGCAGAAAAAGTCATGTTTAGATATCTTTAATATTACTTCGCTGTACCAATATGATCTCTCACCTTCTACCTCGTATACAACGACCCCTATATATATATATATACATATATATATATATATATGTGTGTGTGTGTGTATATATATATATATATATATATATCTATATATATATATATAAATATATATCTATCTATCTATCTATCTGTCTATATGCATATATTTATATATATATATATGTATTATATATATATATATATATCTCTCTCTCTCTCTCTCTCTCTCTTTACATATATATCTTTATATCTATATATATATATGTATGTATGTATGTATGTATGTATTTATGTATATATGTACATATGTACATATGTATGCATATATATATATATATATGTATGTATGTATGTATGCATAATATGCATATGCATATATATATATATATGTATATATATATATATTCATATATATATCTATATCTATATTTATTATTATATAATATATGAATATATATATGTATATTTATATATATATATACAACATGTATGTCTGTGTGTGTGTGGATGTATGTATGTATGAGTGTATATATTTATATTTATATTTATATATTTATATATATGTGTATGTATAATATATATTCACATATATATCTTATTATTATTATTATATATATGTGTGTGTGTATGCATGTATGCATGTATGTATGTATGTATGTATGAGTAGTATATATATATATATATATGTGTGTGTGTGTGTGTATACATATATATATATATATATATTCATATATATATATATATATATATTCATATATATATATATATATATACGTATTTATGAGTCCGTCGTTTGTTGATTCTATGTATCTACAAATAGCTATATGTCTATCTGTGTACCTTTCGTTTCGCGTACTTGATTCTATTTTTTAAGAATTGCTATTGCCTTTCTGCGATGTGCAGAATGTTATAATTCATACTTGACTACAGTTGTAATACTCAATGATACTTGAAATGAAATTATCGCATATTGCTTGGCAATCACCGCATACAATTTACTTTGACATTGCGGCGCGATTAACCTAAACGTTTATACTATTTCATATCCTGGCTGTAGTGTGCCGACAGTCGTATGAGGCTCGTCGGCTGTACGCACACAGCGGCGCGTTGCATGCGTTGTGGTCGGCAGCGCTGTGGAAACCGTCGGCAGCCATAGAGTTCTATATCACGTGTTCACTTATCACACTCGCCCGTGCAAGGAAGCGCAAAACGCAAAGGACGGCGTCCAAGACTGGGTAGGTTCCGAAGATATGTAGCGATGCGTGATGTATGATCTATAATCATATAGTATTTGTGTATATATACGAAATTGTGTTTTGCGCACTACATTTTTTTGAGTTTTAGGAGCCGTATGCAACCAATGAGACTATATCGGAGGCTCATTCGCAACACAGGGTCGTGTGAGATAGAGTACAGCCACTGACAATGTCTAAGATCGAGCATGTACATGTACTGTTTGGTGTGAAATTATATATGCGACTGGTATAGCTTTACTAAGCATACACATTTAGAGATATCCATTTGCTTTCATAGCGGAATTCATGTATTTGTTTTCTTTGCCAGACGGTGTATGTCTTTTATTGCTACATCATCGGTGGTCTGGTTATGCTTGTAAGGGCGGAATTATTGCCGTATGCCACATCGATCTGTCTTGGAGGGGTGTATAATATCTCACCGATTTGTTCCGTTTGCTTCGCCGTTTTCGATTGTCAACCGTGCCGTTTCCATTAGCACTCAAAAAGCTTTCATGTTTCTATGCCTGATTAAATCCGCTTATTTAAACCCCGACTTTTGTCATTATTTATTCATTGTGAAGCGTTGTGGCTATGAATTTACTTTCTAAGATATGCGTACCATCCTAGTCCTACATCACATGCAACTGATCTCGTACGACACACTTTTACGCTCCAAGTCCTTTAGCAGCAGACATCGATGCTCTGCTATCTCGTTTCATTTACTGATTTGTGATGTATTTAATTGTATCTACGCCTTCACTTTACGATACATCGAATATCTGGCCGGATTCTGATTTTGTTAAGCTGCACTTGAACTTTAGTCACATCATTGGAAACTCCAGAGAAGCAGTCACCAGACCGCATTCCTTGAAAAGTTATCCGTATACTATCTCTTGTATGCTTCCAGCAGACCCGTTGTGATTTTCTACCTTGTATATTCCTAAGCACATACTTTCACATTGGTTTTTCTCCCACAGTGGTTTGTTCCCGCATTTGCCACCTGAGCTGAACAAAAAGTCTGCTAGCCTTAGCAAATCCGGTAGTCCCGCGTGCATCAAAGGCAAGAACACGAAGCGTAACTATGGTAACGACTGGAAAAGCCTGTCCGTTCGGTCACCGGGATCTCGCGGCGACGTGCATGCGAGCACTGGGGACGCTCCATCGATGTCTGCTACTTCCGAGGCTTCTAATACAGCTCTTAATACGAGTATGCCCACGCATAGTTCAAATATAGAGATGTCAGTGAAACGGTCACAGACACGGAACGAATCGGCAAACATGGAGAAAGACACACAAACAAAAGCAAACGCATCAGCACAAACACAGGCTCAGACACATACGGACACAGAAGACGGCATACACGTATCCGATGCAAACAAACTGAGTGCGTCACAGAGCATCAAACGAGTGGGCAGTCAAGAGCCCCTGTACACCTCCAATGCACAAATGAACAGCGCTGACGAGGAATTAACACACGCCACATCTGAGCACGTACTCGCCAGCCTGTGCAAGGACAAGGGTACAGGCACACAAGCACATGGGGGCGATGTAGAGGAGGGTGCTCACGGGAACAAGTTCTTACAACCACGCACGCATACAAGTACACATGCACAGACACATATAAAGCGGGGGGATAGCCAATCTAGCTTGCCCGTCAACGGCGGATCGCAATCACTGCTATTGGGAGGAGACTCTGTTCAGATGGCTTCGTTGGAGAATGGGATCACAATTGCGCAGGTGAAAAATAGTGGTTGAACGCGGTGTTTGATTCGGTCGTTATATGATATTAGATGTGTGTAAACACATTGATGCGTGTATATACATATATATGGTGACTCCGAACTACAGGTAAGATTATGTCGCATGCACTGCTGCTGGACGGTGGCTCTTGAAATGACCATCGGTTTAGTATGGGCCTCTGTCGTTTTGTGTATAGTTATGTATATATTCCTTCATAGCTGAGGTGTGTAAATATGCCGTTACATGCGTGTAGATGTGTTTATCTGTACTCTATACGGCCAGTCTAGGCTACCTGTAAGGGTGCGTGATAAGTACTACTGCTGAGCGGAGATTTTGTTGGGGTGGCTTTGTTGGAGGATAGGATTAATCATCGTGCAGGTGAGTGGGTGGTGGATGAAGGGGTGTGTGGTTCTGTCGTTCCATGTGAGTAGTTTTGTATATACATCCTTATATGTGGTGTTTTGTGTGTATTGGTATGTGTGTAGTGTAAATACGCTTAGTCCAAAATACTTGCAAAGGTGCGCCACAAGCGCTGCAGCTGAGCAGAAACATTCTCGAGGTGTCTTCATTGGAGAATAGATTTTATTGTCCAGTTGAGTGACTGCTGGTGGATTAACGTGGTGTGTACTTCTGTCGCTATGTGTGTGTGAATGTGTATGTATACTCATGTTTCGCGTCATCAATTTCGCTTCGTTCGTTGGTGGCGCGTGCCAGGCACTGTATTTGGGTAGTGATTATTTTGCGTTTTTTTTTTTTGAAAATGGGCACACCCTTGGCGCATGCGAGTTTAGTGCGTGGATATATTTTTATATCCGTATCGAAATACGAGCTGATATGGATAGTGTGAGGATCGATTCCATACGGAACTGAATATACTGTTAATCGCACTCTGGTACAAAAAGCAGAGTGTATGTTTAGTCTAGATTCCGGTCACTTTAGCAAACAGTTTACGTTGAATGAGTATAGTCCTTCATCTCTCATCCTCTCGACAGTACCCGTGCCTTTTATTGTGCCAGATTATATTAGTGTATACATACACAGAAGCAAGTATAGATCACTGAAACACTATCACAGTATAACATGCAGTATGCTGTTGTGATACTGTAAATAAAAATCTGCATGCCTACCTGGTAGACATTCGTTCTCGCGGTATAGTACATATTTTAGTTGGTTGATCAGAGTGTGGCATACTGTTCTGTTCGTACCCAATTCAGCTTTGACAAAGTCCGTCTACTGTGCGCCGTACAAATTCTGTTTCCAGGCACTTTCTCATAGGCATTTTATTTCTGTCCGGTAGTGTTCTATAGTGGTTGCCTGAACCGTCAGCTGAGATATTTTAGCTATGCTTTGTGGGACCTATCAATCTATAGAAAAGAAGTACAAGTATCGCTTTTCATGACCGAATGAATGTTTTAGAACTACATATCATCATACATTTTCTACTGCCAATCTTGGCACACAGGAAGTTTTTGATGTTGCACGCCCGAATCTTATCCTGCTCATTTTTTATTTATTTATTTTGTCACTGGCACAAGTACATCATCAGCCAGGATACCTATTGATTTGTTTCACATTATGGAATGTTCATATTTGCCCTATGAATGTTCTTCAAAACTGATTTGTCATATGTGAGAAATGTCGCACTATCAATTCCATCCCACAGACACGCGTGAATGAAGACACACACCAAACACGGGTACAAAGTCTGGCCACCAAGCGATACCCCGAGGATCACCCCACAGATGTACCAGGAGCACCCTCACCGCCATTATCCACACAATCAAGTACGGGGGATATGCCAGATAAATTGACAAACTCTGATATCCCTAAGTCGACAAGCCCGAAACCAAGCTCTGTGAAGCGCACAAACAGCACCAGCAATGGCTCCGAAGAAATCAGTATAGGGGATGTCACTACTGTGTACGCGCAGCATATGCAACTAAATCGACAAAGGACTACGGGAGGTATCAAGGGCACTCTGTTGCTGGGCGATGAAGAGGAGAAGCCGAAGTGGATGGAATTGAGCGAAATAGACAAGACAAATAATATGTTTTTGAGTGCTGACGGGCTGGAGGTGTGTGTGCAAGAGTGTACATGTATGCACGAGTGTGTGTGCGTGTACTCGAGAGGTTTTGTGCTGGCAAGGCTGCTTGGAATGAGAAATCTAAAGCGGTGAATGTGTGTGTGTTTGTGTTCGCAGTATGCTTTTTTAGTACATATGTGGCTATTTGAAGCATGCGTCCCTCTTGAGTTACAGTTCGCAATCTTTTCAGATCAAATACCACACAGTCCATACCGACCATAAATTCAAACACATACAGAATCAGTTTCCATTTTCACCTTTCGCAGATTCGAAACGATAATTGGACATTCGAGAGCATTCGAGCCACCATGTACATAGCTGGGTATGTTCTCTCTTCCGCTTGCATATATAAAAAGGAAAATATATATATATGTATTATGTTTATTTTTATTACACACATATATATATATATATATATATCTGCATATATATATATATATATGTATATGTATATATATATATATATATATATATATGTATGTATATATTACATATATATATATATGTATGTATGTATGTATGTATATATGTATATGTATGTATATATATATATATATATATAAGTATACATATACAAGTATACAATTATTTATATATATATAGATATTTATACATGGATGTATGTATATTTATATATATGAATGTATATATATATATATTACATATATATATATATCATTATATATATATATATTGATATATATGCATATATTATGTGC